TCCTTGAAAGCTTGTATTGTTCTCTTGCTCAAGAGGCAAGGGACATAAACAGGAAGTGACCGCGTGTCTTAAAATCCTAGAAAAGTTCACAGAACATTATTGCTGATACATGAGTTACTCTGCAGTAACTCAGTTAAGTCCAGTTTTTATAGCCTAATAACCGAAAGGGTTAGTCTGATTTCTCTCTGGCGATTGTCACCCTTTTCCTTACATTCCTGCATGCTCCTCCTCACCTGCACCATGGACAGAGGTCTTCCTGGACACTGACGCCAAACACACATCACATATTTTAATAACACAGTTCCGAATGCCTGGAGGAAGACAATGGTAAGTTGATGGAAGTCTCAATTCTAATGTACGTTAAAAGGAAACAAACAGGGGCCAGCAGATGGTGTAGTGGTTACTTAGCGTAGCTGGACTCCCATGTACTCAGCTGTGGTTCATTCGAGTCCTGGACCTGGAGGCTGAAAATTCACACTGGGCACTTTTGTGTTCGTGTCCAATATCCCAAGAGGAGATGGAGGAGAAAGGATTGCGGTGTGGTCATCTGCCCTGGGGGTGATTTCTCACTCTCTTTCTCTCTTAGTGTCTCTAGCAAGCACACACACCCTATAGCAAAAAAAATTTTCTCTAAAAAAAGAGAAAAAAACAGGGGCCCACAGGTGGTATAGTGGTTGTAGTGCTGGGCTCTCACGGTGCGAACTTGAAAATTCATGCCAGGTGTGGGTGCATATGTGCTCAAAATCCTGAAAGAATGGAAGAGAAGGGATTGCGGTGTGGCCATCTCCCTAGGGGGTGGTGGGATTTCTAGCTTTCTGTCTCTGTCTCTCTCTCTGTGACTCTGGCAAGTGCACATACCCTATAGCAAAAATCCCTCTAAAAAAAAGAAAAGAAACAAACATTCCTTTTGGCATTTAGGAAACCTGAGCAACTAAAATTAAGTGTGCTTTTTTTTGTTTGTTTTTTCTTTTTTTGGAGAGGTTTTTGCTATAGGGCGCATGCGCTCACCAGAAAGACAGAGAGAGACAGAAAGCACGACATCACCCCCCAGGGGGGTGGCCATGCCACAGTCCCTTCTCCTCCATTCTCCTCTCAGGATCTTGGGCATGCATGCACACGTGCTCAGCATGAGTTTAAGCCACTGGGTTCAAGATTGGAACCGCAGTCAACTACGTGGGAGTCCAGCAACACAGCCATTACGCTAATTGCTGGTCCCAAGTGTATTGTTTTGTTTGTTTGTTTGTTTTTTGTGTTTTTTTTTTTTTTGGAGAGGTTTTTGCTATAGGGCGCTTGCACTCGCCAGATAGAGAGAGACAGAGATAGAAAGCGAGAAATCACCCCCCAGAGGGGATGGCCACGCCACAATCCCTTCTCCTCCATTCTCCTCTTGGGATCTTGGGCACGTAAGCACACGCGCCTGGTGTGAGTTTAAGCCACCAGGTTCAGGACACGAACCGCGGTCGACTACGTGGGAGTCTGGCAACATAGCCATTACACTAACTGCTGGTCCCCCAAGTATGCTGTTTTTGAAGCTGCTGGCCCACTTTAATGAACCTCTCAGTTATATGTGGTCGGGAGACTACCACTAAAAGTAAAAGTAAAAGCAAACAGACACAAAGCCCCTGTACGACGCAGGCATTCGCTGTGAGCACACTCAGTAGGGTCTGAACTGAGATGAACGTATCATTCCAACTCTTCCTGATCACAACTTTTTTTTTCCTTATCTCTCTCTATTTTTCTTCCATTTGTTTATTCTGTGAAGAAGAGAGACGGGGAGAGAGAGAAAGTCCCCCATGGAGCTTTAACACTGCAAGCCAGCCCAGACCATGGGTACAGAATGCCCAGGACACTGTGGGGGGGGGGGCGGTCCCTGGATATGAACCTGGAACCTTCCCATATGGGTCAGCCTCACAGTGTCACGATTTACCGCTCTGCCACCTTCTAGCACCACCACCCCAACTTTTAGCACCTTCTACTCGTCCTCTCCTATGGTCAGTTCCTTCATGAACATCTACCCTGACTTTCATCAACCTTCATGGTTCCTTCTGGCAATGCTTTTAAGGGAAATTTAAATCCTGATTTGTATCAAAACAAGAAGAAAATACGAGTTGTAGAATTCACAAGTGAAAGCTGCAATCTTGAAAGAATGAGCTCAAGGTAAATTTACCTGAAGAAATATTTCATTAGTCACACAGTGGGAACGTAATTAGAAGTGGCACGCTGCTTGAAGGTGCGCATTGCAGAGTACACATGCTAAACCCAAACTCTCTTGTCTTCAAGGTATTCCCGCCCCTTCTGATGGTGATACTGTTACATTTTAACTTCTGCAGTGGTAGCAGAAAGGAGAGGAGACATGTCCTTTCATGCTCTTCCAGAGGTACAAACAGCTGGTTAACTTCTTCCTTGCAATCAAAGAGACTTTCCTCCAAGCAGGGATACAGAATCCTCTGGAACTATGATGAACTGACACTGAAGGCTGAGACAGGGCAATGTGCAGCAGCGAGCTATTTTTCTATTTGTAAGTGCACATTTTTATTTCTTTAAGAATTATTTTATTTGGGGCCAACAGGCAGCATGGTGAGTAAGGGCGCTGGACTCCCACATGGCGGACCGTAATTCGAGTCCCGGACCTGGCAGCTTGCTTTCTCACTCCTCCCCACCCCCATCTTTCTCTCACTCTGTCCCTCTCTGGTCAAATTTTAAAAATAAATAAATAAATGGATACATAGAGTTAAATAAAATAATTCTTTTGTTAAAGAATTATTTTGGGCGTGTATGCCCAAAATCTTGAGGAGAAATGGAGAAGGGATTACGGTATAACCATTCCCCCAACCCCCCGTGGAGGGGGAGACCTTTCTAACCTCCCCTGTCTCTCTCCAGGGAGTGCACACATCTTCTGGCAAAATTTTAAAAGAAAAATAAAAAGTTCTAGGAATTTTACTTTCTTACATAAGTAGGAATCCTCCATCGAAGACAATGTAGGGAACACACATTGACTTGTTAACACAATGATTCCCCAAAAATTCTTCTGCCCTGTCGCCATTTCTCATAGAACATAAATTCGTACTGACTGACTGATAGAACATGGATATAGTTTTCTCAGATAATGATTACCTTTTTTTTTTTTTTTGGAGAGTTTTTTTGCTATAGGGCGCGTGCACTCGCCAGACAGAGAGAGACATAGAGACAGAAAGCGAGAAATCACCCCCCCAGGGGGGATGGTCACGCTGCAATCCCTTCTCCTCCATTCTCCTCTCGGGATCTTGGGCACGTACGCACACGCGCCCGGCGTGAGTTTTTAAGCCACCGGGTCCGGGACGCGAACCGCGGTCGACTACGTGGGAGTCCAGCGACATAGCCATTACGCTAACTGCTGGTTCCCAGATAATGATTACTTTTAAAAGTAGGCTCTAACTCTCCAAGGCAATATTTATGATTTTTAGCAACTGCATTAACAGGTTTTACTAGGTCACCTAAAAATGTACCAGGTACAATGACAATGGAAAAAAAAAACCCAACTCTCCTAGGACTTCACACCATAAAATATTTATTAAGTAAAATCATTTTCTCCTGCCTTTGGTTATTTAAAAAATTTGAGTATCTTTGTCGATACCAATTGCCAACAATGGTTTTGCATTATTCAGTCATGAGACAGATAAAAAGACTAGATAGATGACAGCTATGATACAAATATGCATGTGAATATACCTTACAATTATTTGTTTACAAATCTTGGTTTGTTACAAATCTTGGTTTTGTTCTTGGTTGAAATTTACTTGCACATTCTTAAACTTATCTTTTTTAAATAAGTAAACCATATACAAGTTAATGTACTTGAATTTGATCATTCGGAACATTGGCAATGAATACAGTACTTACTGAGGTCTGAACAAAGAAAAGAAAACAAGAACTCTGGAGGGGAGAAAAACAGCATCTCTGAAAAGCTTTTCTCTTACTAAATAAGCCATTCTGATAACAGGAGTACGAAGAGCCTTATGGTTTGCAAAGCAAATTGTATCTGTGGTTTAAATTTCATCCCAAGTCTCAGATTATGGCTGAGGAGTTATACTAAGTATCTTGGAAACATATTTCTTTGAATTTTTGTAACTGAAACAAGAAAACGTTTGATCAAATCTAGGCAGAAATACGGATCTTCATTTATAACTATGGCAATTACTTGCACTTGTTACTACGGAGACATGGGAACCTGAAAACCAACCAGAATGAAATGCTAAGCCATACCACATGGCAAAATTTAAAAGTAAACGAGAAAGTAGCAGGTCCTAGTTTACAATTTCAATATAAAAAACATCTAATTACTTCTCAGATGTCACTGTAAAGCCTGAAAACTAAGAGATAACAATCAAGAAGGGAATGAATGGGTTTATTACTACACCACCCACTACTTCAAGATTAAAGTAATCCCAGAGTTCTGAAATGTCATTAGTTAAGTAACTATACAATTTTTTTCTGTCTCTTTTCAATGTAGAAAATCACTTGTAATAAGATCTCTACACAAGGTAAAAAAAAGCACAAAAATAGGCCAAGAAAAGCACAAAAATAGGCAAAATATATATATCTTTGTACAAAGAAATTAAGACATGCCTGCGGAACGCCGAGCTCAACAACTCATTTCATAGAGTTCGAACTGGTTTCCTTTTATTGTAATTGTGTTATTAATGTCTTCCTCTCAACCTTGGGTGCTTATTAAAAAACCTGTCCCAGGTAAAAGGGAAATAACAGGTATTCTGGTCTTGTACAGTTAAAAACAAAAAAGAAACCATAATCATATAATAAAAATGCTTAATCTATCAGTTTACAAACTTCTTTGACAACCATACCTCAAGGGCACTTCAGAGGCGTGGGCCTGTGTCACCATACCATCAGCCACAACACGGAGTCTCCAGCTGAGGTGGTCTTCCATATAAGTCAACGATACAGTGGGAAGAAACCTATCTAGAAATGCTAATTTAGAGACGTTTTCATAGAGTTTAGGGGCAAACAAAGCCATCCAGAAGAAGCGTGCCATAAACACCACCAGCTCATGCGGACTTCCGCCTTGAGAATCCATCGTTTTCCTCTCAGTGTCATGGAGGAAGGCAGCTGGGGGTGCTGTTATACAGTCACTGCCGGGTACATCTTCTGTTCACTGTTGGTGTGGGGGAAGGGGGACTGGATCTGCCTGTAGCCAGGCTGCAGGCCATCCAGGAAGGGGGGCACAGGCGTCATGGGCACAGAGTCATGCTGCACCGTGTACCCCACATATGGCGGATGCAGATACTGCCCTTGATGGGGCACGATTTGGGTGGCCTGCTGACAGTTCAGCACAGAGAAGTTCGTGGGCATGTTGACATACACGTTGTTCATGGTCCCCTCGGGCAAGCAACAGTTGGTCTGTGACCTCGTTGGGGGCGCTCGGGCGCCAGAGTTGGCACTGGAGCTAGAACTGGCAGCTGTGCTGGACTGGCGGGAGGATGACCCCCGGGAAGTGCTGGCGCTGGGGATCATGGGGATGGTCTCCATCAGCCGGTTGCCCCCGGGGGCTCGGCTCTGCTGGGGCTCCTGCTTCGGACGGAGACATCTGCAGCAACAGGCTGCCACGAGCGACCCCAAGATGATAAAGGCGACAAACACAGAGCCCACGATGAGGAACGGCACGTAGATGGGGACTGGAGAGAAGGACAGAAACAACACTGTGATCTACGACATAGCAGCAGGCAGGGAAAGTGATAGACAGTGAGCAACACCATTCCCGGGGCCAGGCCCTAAGCTGGGTTGGTTTATGCACATATTAGCACCCAGGCGATGCCCTGTCCTCTACCAAGTGCTGAGGAAAGGTGCAAAGGGCCTACAGGCAAGGGGGGCCCAGCCCCCAAGGCTAAACTGCTGATATTTATATTTAGACTCACTAATTAGAATATTGTGTAAAGCAGATACACAATTTAGCAGTGATAGGCTTTGATGGATTAACTCGGTTATGGTTTAAACTCCCTGCAGTAAATGAACTTGTCTGCCCTAACAGACAGTTGTAGAATCTTCATAGTAACAATAAGTTTAAACTACTTAGAGGTCCTGCTTTTTGTCCCGGAAAGTTATTTATACTCATCAAAAGCTTTTTTTCTCTTTTTTTTTTTTTAAAGAGAATTATTTATTTACTTTTATTGGTCATTACCATTATTTTCTTATTTGCTACAGAACACACAAGCTCACCAGAGAAAGACAGAAAGAGAGAGAGAAAGTAAGAAAGCGAGCTACCTGGTCCAGGACTTGAACCACAGTTGGCCATGTGGGAGTTCAGCTCTGTAACCACCATGCCACCAGCTGGCCCCCATCAAAAATTTTTGCGATTTTTTTAGCAAGATACTTTTTCTTTTTGTTTTCTTTCTTTTAATTTTAAACATCTTATTTATGTTTTTAGAGAGAGAGATTTGCTATTGGTTATGAGAGCTCACCAGAAAGGCAGAGAGAGACAGAGACAGAAAGTGAGAAATCACCCCCAAGGGGAGAAGGCTATACCACAATCCCTTCTCTTCCATTTTCCTCTCAGGATCTTGGGCACGCACCCACACACACCTGACATGAGTTTTAAACCACTAGATCCAGGACTTGAACCACGGTCGACTACATGGGAGTCCAGTGATATAACCATTCCATCATCTGCTCGCCCCCTCTTTTTTTTTTTTTTTTAATTTTTGCTATAGGGTCTATATATTCACGAATGAGAGAAAGAGAAAGAAAGAAAGGAAAGTGAGAAAGCACTTCCCATGGATGACTATGCCACCATCCTTTCTCCCCCATTCTCCTCTGGGGATTTTGGGCACATGTCACTTGGCTTTTCATGCCACTGGGTCCAGGACTCAAACCGCAGATGGCTATTGGGATCCAGCTGCCTTAACTACCAAGTCACCAGCTGGCCCATAAGTTCCTTCTCTTTTAATGCTTTAGTTTCTCCCTTTCTATCTGCTCCCTCTCCCCTCTCCTTCTAAAGTTTATTCACTGACCTTTTCCATGAGAGAGACAGAACAGATACAGGGTCCCTGTGTTATGACCCACCCCCAGTCCCAGCCACTATGATCACAGGCATGTGTGTATGCAGTCAGGGCCCAGGATGTGAACCCAGGACCCTTCCCACATGGGTCCAGCTGCATCACCATGGCACCACTATCTAGCCCGTAAGTTCTTTTTTTAAAAAGCAGATAAACTAAAATTTTAGACTCTTAGTGACTACTGTTTCCAAAAACAGATGCAGGAGGCTCAAGGAAGGGTAAAATGAGTCCCCACGCTCTTGCCTAACTGAGGTGACAGTCCCTGGGCGAGGTGTTGAGTCCAGGATGGAACACTGGATGGTGGAAAGCTGAGGGGGGTCTGTGCAAGGAGAAGTTCTTCCAGGAAGAGGCCAGCATGAAACAACGTACAGAGGAAAACAGGGAGCAACAGACACTTGTTCAGGAAGGAGATTCACCCCCAGAAAGCCGACAAGGCACTGGGGTGACGACTAGCACGGCTGATGGTGCAGTGCGTGTGAAGCTGTGTGTGAAGAGCAGGGAAGCCTGCGGTGCATAAAGCAGTGGCCATCACGCTGAACAAGCGAGGTGCATTCTAAACAATAAAAATGAAAGCCTTTACTGAAACCAATAGTGAACTTCATTTTTAAATTGCTTTCTTAAAAAAAATCTTTTGGGTTGGGACCAGCAGTTAGTGTAATGGCTATGTCGCTGGACTCCCACGTAGTCGACCGCGGTTCGTGTACGAGACCCGGCGGCTTGAAACTCACGCCGGGCGTGTGTGCGTGCGTGCCCAAGATCCCGAGAGGAGAATGGAGGAGAAGGGATTGCGGTGTGGCCATCCCCTGAGGAGTGATTTCTCGCTTTCTGTCTCTCTGTCTCTCTCTGTCTGCCTGGCGAGCACACACGCTCTGTAGCAAAAACCTCTCCAAAAAAAAAAAAATCTTTTGGGGCTCCTAGTGGTAACATAACTGGGGCCACACAGGAAAGGCCCCAGATTCACATCCCAGGACCTCTCTGAGCACATCAGATACACATGCCTGTGATCCAGGAGGATCAGGGATGAGACCTTTTGGGGTGGGGGCGGGGACTGTCCTTCTGTCTCTGTCTCTCTTCATGGAAGAAATAAAAGATTAAAAAGAAAAAAATCCTTTCTGAAGGCTCAGCCATGGTGTCACATGCTGCTAAGATGCTGTCTCCACAACCTGGGACCACTCAGGAAGCCCAGGTAGATTTCTTGTCCAACCTACAGGCCAGGCACGGTAGGCACACCTGTAATCTCAGCCCCCTGGGAGACTTGAAGCAAGAGGATTCTGACATAGAAAAACTCTATGTCTTAAAAAAAAAAAAAAAATTTAAAATGAGGGGGGGCAGCAAATGGCATGTTGGTTAAGGTGCTGGGACTCCCACATGGCCGACTACAGTTCAATTCCCAAACCTAATGGCTTGCTTTCTCTCTCTTGGCTCTCTCTTTCTCTCTCTCTCCCTGGTAAGCACACGTGCCCTATAGATAATTAAAATAATAATGATAATAAATAAAGTTAAATAAATAATTATTTAGAAAAATGTATTTGGGAGCCGTGGGGATGGAACCACGTGAGGGCTTCCGAAACTAGCATAGGCTGATGGGGGCAGAATTGGGGGGTGGAGGCTGTATACGCCTCTGAGCCACTTCATGAAATTTTGCTCTGTTAACAAGAACATTCACTTTCTGGTGTATTCCTGCTCCATGCCTCTGTTTGATCAGACAACACATTAAAGGACAGGTTGGGTCTCGCTAGTCTTGGCAAAGCATGACTGCATGGGAGGCTTTTAGGAAGGAGCCCACACTCCTGAGGTCGGATTCATGAACAACCTTAGGCTGTCCCTTAGAGCAGCTGACCTTCCTTCCTTCCTTACTGCTAGAGAAAGTGAGTGCTTGCTGGAGAGAAACAGAGGGAGAGAGAAGAGGGGGAAAGCACCTTCCAGTGGGGCATGGTCACACTGAAATCCCTTCTCCTATTTCCCATCCCATCAAGACCTTGGGCATGCATACACTTGCACACATGCACACACACACACACACACACACACACACACACACACAGAGTATATGTTTCAAGATGCCAGGACTGGGATTCCAACTGTGGGTGGTCAGGTGGGATCCAGCTCCCTTCCCCACTAGGTTACCAGCCAGCCTCGGCGCTGGACTTTCTTTTCTTTTCTCTTTCTCTCTTTCTTTCTTTCTTTCTTTCTTGCTATAGGGTGCATGTGCTCACCGGAGAAACAGAGAGACAGAGACAGAAAGTGAGAAATCATCTCCCGGGGAGGAAGGCCATACCACAATCCCTCCATTATCCTCTTGGGATCTTGGGCACACATGCACACGTGCCTGGCATGAGTTTTAAGTAGCCGGCTCCAGGATTAGAACTGTGGTCAACTACATGGGAGCCCAGCGACATAACCATTATGCCATCTGCTGGTCCCATGCACTGGGCTTTCTAATTATGCCCTTTTTGATGGACATTCCTGAAGTGTTTTTAGAATATATCACATGAAATCAAATCATGGAGAAATAATGCCATGTAAGTAAAACATACTGTATAGTTATTAATCAAAGGCTGACAAAGAGAGGTCTCCCTGCATTTCAATGCTGAGCAGAGCATATTCTCTATAGTGTCCCTTGAGCAGACACACACACTCGCTACAGTCTGCAGCACAGCTGGTTCCGACACTAGACTGCGCTAATTATGCCATCACTTCGGGCTAACCGTGGCTACTGGAGCAGTGGGTGTTGGGCTTTCTTCTACACAGGCTATTAATATTTCATTTTATAAATTAAGATACCAGCCCTAAATATGTTATTAAGAGGTAAACAAATAATAACACAATAGAAAGAAAAAAAAAAGATTTACCCTAAACACAGCAAAAACTAGCTAAAACCAGTCTCCTTCCAGATAATGAGCTTTGGGGAGAAATAACTGTTCTCTTTCCAGGATTTTTAATTGGAAGTGTAAATAACTGCACAGGAATAAAGAATGCAGTGTTACTATAGGCCCTCCGTAGGCTTAATTAGGCGTGTTGTCCTTCCCTGCAGAAAAGAAGTGAAAGGAAGAGAATTTTCAGTGAGAAAGGTTTAAAAGTGGAATGAAGAAGACACCCACACACAACGTTGTGAGAAGTCTGCTGCCTACTGATTTGTCCAAAGCCATCCTAACTTCTTAGAGATGGTTAATGAGCCCAACTTAACAGACAGCTCATTGTAGCAGTTTGCAAGGCTTTATTCCATGGCCACACACTCTGCAAGGCTGAGCCTGCGACTAAGAAGGCACCTTTTCTGGAATTACCCTGAGTTCTCCTCTCTACAGATCCTAGGCTGCAGAACAATAGGAGTGACAGGCTAAGAAAATGCTGGACTATAAAGGAAAGGCACTGAAAAGGGCTGCATCTTACCGGCCTGGAGACAGCTCCAGAAATATAGGAGCCACTCAGTGCCAGAGCTTGGGCAGAGCCTGAGACCTGGGCTCAGGTGCAAGTGCAATGTTCTCTAGGTCACACCACCAGCTGCAGAAAATGGAGAAGCATCTTCTGGGACATGTTTGCTATTTTACCTCTACCCTAATCCCCCTCCAAACTATGCCTGCGCGTGCGTGCGCACACACACACACACACACACACAGACACAGACACGCAGAGTGATTTGTGGTAGACCCTCCAGGAGGCAAAATGGGAAAGTTTCTGAAGACTGGAGGAAGTGCAACGTACCAAATTCTTTCATGGGTTTATTTTTCAAATCTGGCTTTGACAATTTGAAAAAATATGTAGTTAAGAAAAAAAATCAAAGCCACAAGGAACAAGGTCGGGCACAGTACTGATGTCACACCTACTCCATCGGACATGGTAAGAAACAGAAACCCGTGAGGCCTTGGCAGCGGCAGGTGGAAGGTGCAGCCTGACAGCCAGGAGGGTTCGAACCTCTTGGAGGTCTGGTAAAGTACATCGCTCACAGGAAAGCCCCAAGGAGCTGCTTTCCTTCTGGCGGAGCCTTTAAGGAAGTGTTCCTGCTGGGCCTTCTCGGGATGGGGAGCCCCCTTGCCAGTTCCTTGGGTACCCAAAGACATGATGCCCTGTGGAGACAAGAGACCTGGGATGGACAGACACCAAGGACCCTGGACAGAAGGAAAGTGGGAGTTGTTTGTGGCCAACACTATCTTAGGTGTGTGGTCTCTGGGACATTTAAGTGAAACGACCATTTAGCTGAAAGATGGGGAAACTGAGGCCCAGGGCAGTGGAATGATGCCCCTTCGCAAACATTGATGGATGGATCTGAACGAAGGCTCCACCTTCTGGTCTGAGGCCCTCTCCTGAATTTTCAATGCTCCTAACTCCTTTCCCCTCTCCAGGCTCCCAGGTCCAGGTCGTCTGGGCAAAGCCAACAGTCCTTCCCTTTCGCATCGGCCCGGTGCCGCCCTACCT